ATGAATGGATAAAAGTGATATTTTTGATATTGAGATTAAATCATATTTGGATTGGAAAATCAATTGAGATGAATTATTTGGTTATGAATTAAGAACTTGGTTGTTCTAAATCACAAACACATAATAAATGTAAAAATCAACTAAAGTAGTAAAATAACAACTGCTCGAATTGACGTGATCCACAATAGGTATATTATATTATGCAAGACAAATATTCATGACAATAATTTTCTATCCGGAACGTCGTTTGGCCACCTCCATTTCGGGTAGAATTTTTTGATGATATATTGTGAGCATGTTCTACATTAAGTGTAGATTACATCCACCAAATTTCAGCTTAAAATGCAATCGGGAAGTGAGTTAAATAAAATATTGAAAAACATTGTGTTTTTTATATGAATTTTGACGTAGTGTTTTTCAATAATTTATTTAACTAATATTCCGATTGAATTTTAAGCTCAAATTTAGAGGACATAGAAGCACCTCAAATAAAGATTACTCATGCAATGTATAAGAAGTTCGGTTCCTGCCTAGGAACCGGAACCGAACTGGAACTGAACCGGAACCGAACCGATCATATATCATAGGAACCGAACCGAAAAAAGATGAAGTCCAAAATTATAGGAACCGAACCGAACCGGAAAATTCAGTTCGATTCGGATTGGTTTTTCCGGTTTTATGGTTCCAAGTCCGGGGCCTAAATGGGATTAACGAAAATATGTGTTTATACGTGGTCGTCCTCGTATTGAGAAGCTTTTTGTTGAGTCCAATTTTGTTCACCTCTCCCCTCTTTACTTGCCATTTGGCATCACAAATCTTCTTTTTCTTGAAATCATTATAACTTTTTTATTTATAATTTAATTTTCATAAAAAATATATCATATTTAATAACTTTTTATAATCTTTCCAATAATATCCATATTGCATACAAAAAATTAAAAAAAAAAAACTTTTTTTCTTAATTCTCTTTTTAGCCGAATTGTTTTTTAAATTTTACATATGCAATATTATTAGTATGAAAGATTATAAAAAATTTTAAAAAATTGATCAGATAAAAAGTAAAGTATTATAACAATTGCAAAATAAAGTAATATAAAAAAATAAAAATTGTTATAACAATAGCAAAATTATAAAGTATTGCTATGCCATGTGGCAACATTGGAGGGTGGGGGTGATGTTCACCCTGTTTTGAGGCGGTGAACAAAATTGTTCTCCTTTTTGTTAGCCTCATTTGAGTGATTATGATCTGAATTCTTTAAGATATGATTTGTTTTAAAGTACGAAAAAGGTACTTGTGTTGAACCCGTTTTCAGATAAGGTCATGTGTTTCATTCTTTATCAAAGTGGTTCATGTGTTTGAATTTCGTTATCACAAGTGGGTCACAACGTTAAAAACGTCTGAAAAGGACCGTTAAAAGTAGGACTGGGTCCGGAAAATTGAAAACCGAATCAAATCATACCGAACCGTAGCCAAATAAAACCGAACCGCTAACAAACCGAAACCGAATGTAAAAAATCGAACCGAACCATAGTTGTTTGGTTCAGTTTTGGTTTTTACCCTTCAAAACCGAACCGAACAAACCGAACTAGTTAAAATATACGGAGTAAAATTTATTTGTCCTATGTTAAGCATTAATCCTAACTAATTAATCCTAATATCATTAATAGTATTTGGTTTTCTTGTGCTAGAGAAATAATGTTTGTTATGTTTAGTTTAGTTTGTGAATTCATTTAAACATTCATTGCACGTAATAATGTAGCTATACTGATAATATGTTTTTACTTGTTATTAGTATTAATTAACTTTTATTTTTATTTAACTTAAAGAATTCGTATCGATGAAACAATAAATATTTATCTCAACTATATCACATATAACGTATATACTCATGAACTTTTTTTGAACTAGTCACAAACAATGTAAATTAATAATATATACTTTTATCTCTCTCGCATACTCATATAATTCATGACATTTTTATTTATTTTCATTTTTATTTTATTTGTTGTAGTGTGCTTGCTGTTGGAAGAACCGTACGTGGGTGTACATATTTATGCACGCATGCATGTAACAATTATTTTACAATTATTCTTGTACAATATTTTATTTGTAACGGACGGCACAGATCATGGGATTAGCAATATTATAGGAGTAGAATTCTAATCTCATATGGTAAGTTTTTCCTTACCGTAGAGGAGAAAGCTGTATATATTTGACACGCACGTGTCTTAATGGAGCAAGGGAAAATTACCTCAAATACATTATATCTTATTTTTGTAGGGAAAAGGGGCAAATAAGGCCACGTACTAACAAAAAAAAGGTCAAATAAGGCCTTATTTATGAGGCTCTGTGCGTCCTTCGCCATTTGGGGTGGTTCTCGGTGGAATTTTTTGATTAATTTTTTTGACCATCTTGTTCATTAAGTCTAGTTTACTCATACCAAATTTCAGATAAAAATTTAGTCGAGAAGGCATTCAAATGAATTCTTGAAGATAACTGCGCTTTTAACTGCGCAATTATCTTCAAGAATTCATTTGAATGGCTTCCCGATTGAAGTTTTAGCTTAAATTTGGTATGAGTAAACTAGACTTACAGAATAAGATTCTCAAAAAATTTCATAAACAAATTCCACCGAGAACCAACCCAAATGGCGAAGGCCGGACAGAGTCTCATAAATAAGGCCTTATTTGACCTTTTTTTGTTAGTACGTGGCCTTATTTGCCCCTTTTCCCTATTTTTGTATCAAAGCGGGTTAATACAATTCCTCTGTATACGTAGCAATGGCTAACGATGCAGCGCAGAACTCTGGCGGCCGAACGAACAAACCGGTGAGAAGGAAAATCAACGATCCTTCATCACCATATTATCTGGCGAGCTCCGATTTCCCAGGTATCAACATCTGCGGCATCATGCTCAAAGGTGAGAATAATTACCGGGAATGGACGACGGCAATGAAAAATGCCTTTCGTGCAAAACGAAAGGTCGGTTTTTTGGACGGAACGATCAAACGACCGGAAGGCAACCCACAGGATCTGGAAGACTGGGACAGCGTGAACTCCATGCTTGTGGGGTGGATGATGACAGCGGTGGAGCCTAGCCTGTGTACAAACCTCACTTACATGGATAGTGCGCGAGAGCTTTGGGAGGATCTGAAAAGTCGCTTTGCGGTTGGAGACCCGATGCGAATTCACGAACTAAAGGAGTCAATACGGATGTGCAAGCAGAATGGGCAGACCATCGCGATGTATTTTGGACGCCTAAAGGCGTTCTGGGATGACTATGAAGGATACCGGCTTATGCCCCAATGCACCTGTAATGGGTGTACATGTGATTTGACGAAGCAATATTTGAAGCAAATTGAACAAGAAAAGACGCACGAATTTTTGATGGGCCTTGATCACGATGCTTATGGTGTGTTACGTTCAAACATCCTCAGCCTGGAGGAACTGCCAAGCTTGACAAGAGTGTATCAAATTATGATACAGGAGGAAAGGGTACGTAATATGACTCGGATCAGTGACGAAAAGGTCGAAGGTGTGGCCTTTGCTACTCGGATGGGCGGACAATTGGGATGAAAGGACGGAACAGTTACCTGTAGCTACTGCAAGAAGCAAGGTCACGGCATAGAGAACTGTTTTAAGAGAACCGGGAATTACCCGGAATGGTGGTATGACAATCCAGGGAGAGGAAGAGGAGCACGCGGACGGGGTGGAGCCGGGAGAGGACGTGGCAGGGGTGCTGGAGGAAGAGCCACCGCTAATGCGGTACACGCAGAACAGGGAGATGATGGCACAAAAATTACTCTTGGCTCCAGCGACAAGGAAAGGATCCCTACGTTCTCGGCAGACGAGTGGAAGAAATTCCTTCAATTAATGGACCAGTGTAAGGCATCTTCTAGTGAGACAACCTCAGGTAAAATTGCTTATACACCTTGGCTTTTAGATTCTGGTGCGTCACTACACATGACGGGTGATGAACAACAATTGATTAATAGACAATCTATGGCCCCGGTTTCTATTTACTTGCCCAACGGTGAAGTGACAATTGCGAAAAGCAAAGGAGAAGTGCAACTTAGTCATGGACTGAAACTTACTAATGTGTTATTAGTTCCAGGTTTGATGTGTAATTTAATTTCCGTGGGAAAATTAATCGATGAACGAAAATGCGGGGTATTTTTCGCTAATGATGTTTGTGTGATACAGAACTTACTTTTGAGGACGCCGATTGGAGCGGGTGAGAGACGCGGTGGAGTGTACTATTTTCATAGTTTGGATCACGTACGTGTTTGCTCAATAAAAGGGAAGGATACAACTATACAAGTAATTTGTGGCATTCCCGGTTAGGCCACCCATCTGTGAAGATTTTACGTACCACACTTAATAATACTTTATCTTCAGTAGTTTTGAATAAAAGTTGTGACACATGTATGCGTGGTAAAAAGACTCGAGATGTTTTTAATATTAGCAATTCCAGAGCATTTGAATTATTTGAAATGATACATTGTGATGTATGGGGTCCCTATCGTTTTCCAGCGACATGTGGTGCAAGATATTTTTTAACTATTGTGGATGATTTTTCACGGGCTGTCTGGGTATATTTAATGCGGGAGAAAAGTGAGGTCTCTACATTGCTGAAACAATTTCTTACAATGATAGGGCGCCAATTTAATAAAAGGGTGAAAGTTGTTAGGAGTGACAATGGAACGGAGTTTCAGTGTTTAAAATCTTATTTTTTGGACAATGGAATTTTGTTTCAAACTACGTGTGTTTATACCCCACAACAAAATGGGAGAGTAGAGCGCAAGCATAGGCATATCTTGGAGGTAGCACGTACACTTCGGTTTCATGCACATTTACCTATACAATTTTGGGGTGAATGTGTGATGACTGCGTGTTATCTCATAAACCGATTACCCTCTTCTGTTTTAGATTATAAAAGTCCATATGAGCTTATATACAATAAGAAGCTGAATTATGAACAACTCCGGGTTTTTGGGTGTCTTTGCTATGCTCATAATCACGGGAGGGATCGAGATAAGTTTGCATCACGTGGAATCAAGTGTGTGTTTTTGGGTTATGCCTACTCCCAAAAGGGTTGGAGATTATATGATCTGGAAAATCAATGTTTTATTATTTCACGAGATGTGACCTTCGTTGAAACAACCTTCCCTTATAAGACCGACGACCAACATTCACGTGACATAAACGTGAATAGGACCATGCAGCAGGAGGACAATGTTCCCATTACTCATTTCGAGGCTATTGATGAGGAGAACCCACTTTCAGTGGACATGACATCTGCTACATCCACCTTGCGTGACACGGAGCAAACTGGGGAAGCTGGGTCCAGTGATGAGGAGCTGACTAATGATGGTAATCTGGAGACACGTGGGAGTACTTTAGTTGAAGGTCTGGAATCTGCCACAGAAAATAATGGGGATGGAACAGGTACACGCAGAAGCAGTAGACCGAAACGCAAAGCCGCATGGCATCAAGATTATGAAGTGCAGACTAATACTATGAAAATAGATACTCCGCCCGGTTCTCGCTCCACTTCAACGGTAGAATCAGGTAATCCTTATCCCTTATCTCATTACGTGAATTATAACCATTTTTCGGTACACCATCGTGCTTTTCTCGCATCAATTTCAGCACACAAAGAACTCGGGACGTTTAACGAAGCGATGCGTGATCCTCTTTGGAGAGCTACCATGCAACACGAACTGGATGCTTTGGAAAAAAATGGCACGTGGATAATACAAGATCTTCCTCCTAGTAAGAAGCCTATTTTTTTGTAAATGGGTCTATAAAATCAAATATAAAAGTGATGGTACCGTTGATCGGTACAAAGCTCGGTTGGTTGTGTGTGGTAATCGACAAGTACATGGGATTGATTACGATGAGACTTTCGCCCCGGTGGCTAAGATGGTCACAGTTCGTGTTATGTTGGCTATTGCTGCTTCCCGTTATTGGGAGATCCATCAAATGGATGTAGATAATGCCTTTCTCCATGGTGATCTTCGTGAAGAGGTGTATATGCATTTACCACCAGGGTACTCCTCTCCTAAACACGGACAGGTGTGCAAATTACTCCACTCACTCTATGGATTGCGTCAGGCCCCACGTTGTTGGTTCTCAAAATTAACTACTGCACTTCTCTCATATGGTTTTAGTCAGTCACATGCTGACTATTCCTTGTTCACTCTTCACCGTGAAGGACATATTTTATGTATATTGGTTTATGTTGATGATTTACTTATTACCGGTTCTGATCCCACAATGATTTCTTTTTTAAAAAAAATATTTGGCTCATACTTTTCCTGTTAAGGATTTGGGACACATGAAATACTTTCTAGGGTTGGAAGTTGCACGGGGACGAAAGGGAATTTTTCTTTGTCAGCGCAAATATATTTTGGATGTTCTTGATGAGACAGGTTTGACTGGTGCCAAGCCGGTTTCGTTCCCTATGCCACAATATCATGGCCTACAATCTGCCGAGGGACCTTTGTTCTCCGAACCAGATCGCTATCGCCGATTGGTTGGAAAACTTATTTATCTTACTCTTACAAGGCCAGATATCAGCTATTCTGTTCACATTCTTTCTCAGTTTATGCAAGCTCCTCGACGTGTGCACTGGGATGCAGTTATCCGGGTTCTTCGCTATCTCAAAGGTCATCCTGGCCAGGGGATTCTTTTAGGGCGACACTCACCTCTCTCACTTGTTGGTTACTGTGATTCTGATTGGGCTAGTTGCCCAAACACACGGCGTTCCGTTACCGGTTATTTTGTTACACTTGGGGGCTCTCCTATTTCTTGGCGAACTAAGAAGCAAGCTACGGTGTCTCGCTCCTCCGCGGAAGCCGAGTATAGATCCATCGCAACTCTTACATGTGAACTTCTTTGGCTCAAGAGTCTTTTCTCCTCTTTACGCATCAAATTGACACCAATACAGGTTGTATGTGACAACAAAGCCGCCATTCATATTGCTTCTAATCATGTGTTTCATGAACGTACTAAACACATCGAGCTGGATTGTCACTTTATCCGTGATCATGTACGTTCAGGTGTCATCATACCTTCTTACACTTCCACCAAGGAACAACTTGCCGATTTATTCACTAAAGCTCTTGGTGCTTCTCAGTATCATCATCTTCTTGCCAAGATGGGCATTCACGACCCCCATGCTCCATCTTGAAGGGGGGTGTTGGAAGAACCGTACGTGGGTGTACATATTTATGCACGCATGCATGTAACAATTATTTTACAATTATTCTTGTACAATATTTTATTTGTAACGGACTGCACAGATCATGGGATTAGCAATATTATAGGAGTAGAATTCTAATCTCATATGGTAAGTTTGTCCTTACCGTAGAGGAGAAAGCTGTATATATTTGACACGCACGTGTCTTAATGGAGCAAGGGAAAATTACCTCAAATACATTATATCTTATTTCTTGCATTCTTTATGTAATATATGTTTGATCCCTCAAAGTATTATATCATTTTTAAATCAAATGATAATTTTTTGGTAAAAAACCGAAAAAACCGAAATCGAATCGAAACAAACCAAACCAATCAAACCGTGGTTCCAAGTTTTGGAGTGTAAAACCAAACTGAAACCGAACCGAACTCTTTACTTTGATTCTATATTTGGTTTTAGGTCAAAACCGAACCGCAAGAACCGAACCCACCCCTAGTTAAAAGTAACTCCGGTTTTAAAAAGTGCCCGAAAAACTAAAAGTAAAATACCGGAAGGTGCGTCTCAATAAGACGACCGCTAGGCCATCTTTCTTTTTTGTTTTCAACCACCCTTGTCACCGGAAAGTCCATCAGAAAAGTGATATTATCGAAATCATTTTTAAAAAATAATTCAAACAGATCTGAAAAATCCAAAGGGGAAGGTGGTTTGGAGGTCATCTTGACGAGACGCACCTTTCGGTATTTTACTTTTAATTTTTCGGGCACTTTTGAAAATTGGAGTTACTTTTAACGGTGTTTTTCAGAAATTTTTAACGACGTGACCCTCTTGTGATAACGGAACTCAAACACATGAACTACTTTGATAAAGAATGAAACACATGACCCTATCTGAAAACGGGCTCAACCACAAGTACCTTTTCCGTACTTTATCTAAATTTTCTCATCTAATTTGAATGTTCCTATTTACTAATACTATTTTTTTTAAAATCTGATCAGATATGAATGTCATCATTTCTTTTATTTGACCTGATTTGAGACTTTCTAATCTGATTGACTGTATTATTATTACTAGGAACCCAATTTCACAGATATGCAACAGTTCTCAATGCATACATCCACAACGAATGAGGCAAGGTAGAATAACTTAACATACTCCTAACCATTTCAATTAATGTACGATTCCGCCTCTCAGCTACACCATTTTATTGTGGTATACCATACAATGTGTATTGAGAATAAATGCCTTGACTTTCAAGGAATTTAGCGAATGGACTTAGCTACTTTGGTGACTAACTAGCTCCTTATACATAATAATTAAATTCTTCTGGTCATCAAAGGTAAATCAAATTTCATATAATTAGATCTACTCAATAAAATTTTCTAATTAACCAAACTAGTTAAATCACTTTGATGATTAACAAACTGTCTTACCAATAGAAATTTAAATGAGTAAACATATATGAAACTTTGTTCAATAAAATTGTTTAAATAACTCAGTTAGGCCACTTTGGTGACTAACAAGCTACAAAAATATTTAAACCATTCATTGAGTAAATAATAATAGAAGATAAAAACTAATAGCACATAAACTTTTATTATGTGCATCAAAAGTCTCCATATAAATTTCATGGACTATAAACTTATATGCGGAAGCATTAAAGTAATATTAAAAGAATGATAAATATGAAAAGTAGGCCAATTAAAATAAAATACGATAATTAGTAGTAAGGATCAAATTGGACACTATGGTTTCATGAGAATCTCATATTGGACACTAAGCACTAGTGCAAAATATGGATTCTATAACTAGTATTTCATATGGGTTCTTCTAGAACCGACATTATAGGTGGACGCGGGGTCATATTTCTAAATAATAAAATGTTTATGCTAGCTTGCGGGTAAGGTTTGTAAATATTATTTCGTATTAACAATGGCTTTTCATTAGTCCGACACAGTAGTACTAAAACGGGGCACTTTTTATAATTTTCATAAAGACAAGCTGGGGACGGGGTCTTTTTATAAATTCAAAATTACTTTTTCTATGTCAGGCTCTTTATCAACCCTTATTGATAGAATTCAAACTTTTATTTGTGTACACAAAATCTACAACTAACACAGAAGCTAGGGCAAAAACAAAATGTGAGTTTGGGCGAAGCCGCCGCAGGAAGATCCGATGTTCTCCATCGCGCGCCAATCGCCTCTCTTACCTCGATAGTCTTAGTTGTCTCATCGTGTACTGTTTCTCTCCATCAACGCTAATCTCCTCTCATCCATCATAGGTAATTTTTTTTTAGTTTTTGATATTTAATCATGTTTGTCACTTAGGGTTCAGTTACTGTACGTGTTTTTGTTTAGGTCATTTTTGCTATATATTCTATATTTAATTTAATTCGGACTACCATTTCACCGATGTACGTACTGAGTGGCTGTGAGCGGTTGGATCGGCGCAAAGAGGACGAGCTCGATGAACAAAATCGTTGAAGAACGAGTCTGTTGGTCTAGAATACAGGGAGCCACCAGGGATTGAGTTAGCAGATATGAAGATTGAAGACTAGTGGGGTTTCCAGTGTATCCGTATATATTCTGGTGTGACCTCTTCATCTGATACTCTTTACTATTACTGTTAGGTTTGAGGTTACCTGGTTAGTTTATCTTAAATTAGTATTTGCTTTAAATTCAAATATGACTAATGCAGTGAAAGTTAATCTATCAAATGTTTGGATAAATTTATATAATAAAGTTTGTATTAGGATTTAAAAAGTACCTTTTATTCCACAGGGTTTAAAAATTTATTGTGTATGTTTGAAATCTTAGATAAAGCATGAAAAGTTCTGTTACATTTTTAGTTTTATAGTGCCTATAACATCTTCATAAAAAAGTTCCAATGAGATTTACTGAGCATGAATGTTGCTTCAATGTATTGTTATTTTAGCACTATGGAAAAGACGAAAAGTTACTAAATCTTTGGTATTGTCTAATGATCTCACTATCTCAGCAACCTTTCCTTTACAAATTGAAAATGGTTACTTTGTATTTTTTTCTTTTCTTCAAGGAAGCAATTCCACTATAGCAGGTTGTGCTCCATTCAAATGTAAGTATTACCAGAAAAGGACATTTGCTCTTAGTTAGATATCATTATTTTCCCTGTGTAAAGAACTGGATTTGATGTTTGAGATACTTTGAGTATGTGTTTTATTTTCCATATCTTTTGGAGTGCTTTAGAATACAAACCAGATTATATCTTAGCTTCTTTTGAAAATAATAACTAGTTGAGTTAAAAACTGAATTTATGCCTATTTTTTCACACTTTTTTGCTTATATGCAAGTGTGCAAGTACCTGTCTATATGTAAGGGACATTATTCCCCTGTGTTGTAAAATTAGTTATACTCATGAAATAATTTTTGTTTTTCCTCAACATTGTGAGTTATCTGTTCTAATATATTGAAAAGGCAAAGAAGCACAATGATTAAAGGTATATTAATTTGATCTTGTTATCATTATCTCTTGTTAGATTTTCTTACCTTTTATATATTATTTTCATGTATGCACTACTTTGAATTTGTTATATATATACAATGTGTATAAATGTTCTGTTTTGTGTATATACATGTTGATAGGAACTTGGAATGCATATATGGTGTTTGATAAAATTCCACAAGGAAGCAATGCAAACTTTAACTAGTAATTTATTTCAAATTTCAGTTACTCTTTTTAGTTCTTACTGTTTTTATTACCTTCTTTATTGATAGTTGATAGTAATGTTGTAGCCCTGTAAGATAAACTGAAGTAAAAGTGTAAAACTCAGCCCAATTGTTGAAACCGGCCTACTCACTTCAACTGTTTCATTTGCTTTTCATCTACTATGAAATTTGTTACCTAATTGAACCAGACAATTAAGTAATTAATCCTAGTTATTCATGTGCTCCAACTGATAGTTTTTTTTCTATTTTGTGTTAATCTATCACGTTGTACGAGTTTGTGACTCACTGTATGCATGAGCTACAATATATGCATTCATTCAGTCTACTCTTCTGCTGCTGCTGCATCTGATCTATGGATTCTTCAGTTTGAATTGATCTATGACACCAAGTCTAATTATTTATATGAGTGCTCTAAGAGGGATGAAGTTCAGTCCATTATTAATCCTTAAATAGTTAAAGGTTTTTATCTCTTGTTGATTATTGATCATGGTTTTTCATCGATCAACTCTAACTGTTTTGCAAATCTCATTTTCCCTTATAGATTATTTGTTTAATGTAGTATTTTTTGTCAAGAATATTTATATTTTTATGGTATTATGTTGAAACCGAGTTGGCCGCCTAGTCCGCCTAGGCGCTAGGCGGTGCTTGGCCGCCCGACTAACGCCTAGCGAATTTTAGATTATTGAGGCTAACAGAGATGAATCTTCTCCATACGCAGCTATGCTTGCAGTCCAAGATGTGTCTCGAAATTGGAATAACTGCTATTGAGCTTAGGCTACCAGAGGTGACAAAACAGAACTCTCCTAATCAAGAAGCCCAATTTGCTCGTTCTTTCTAGCATGAAAATTGGTTACAGAGGACGTTACATTGAGAGCTACAAAAGTTCCAAATATTTTACTAGTGAACAAAAATTCTTCATGACTTGAAGTTTCTCATAACCAAAGTACATGCATAGAATAATATGGAAAGTAAACATTATAGAATGTTATTTAATTTTTTTTCCAAAAAATATAGATTTTTTATAACGGTTGTTTGAT